GTAGGGTAAATGCATTAGATTGTGCTCTGATATATTGGAGAGACTACAGCCGTGAGGATGTGGGAGTCAGTGTTTGTGTAGCTGTAGGTTGTCTTGACTTAACAATGTCCTTGGGTGAGGCTTCATGTGGTGAAACTGATGTCTCTTCTCAGGACTTCCTGCTTTCGAAGTACAAAGTTGTTATTATTGATGAAGCTCATGAGAGGAGTATGTACACAGATATCTTGATAGGCCTCTTGTCTCGCATCGTGCCTCTTCGGGAGAAGGTAAGAGAAGCTGTAGTTGTGTTTTAGACACAGATCTGCTGGCGAGGGGGATGTTGGACATGAAAAGGCTCTGTGGGAGGAGGGACTCTGTGGTGAGGAAGTTAATAGAAATCTGATGGAAACCATGAAATAACACTCAGATGATGTGTTTGTCTTTCCATATGATTGAAGAAGCACAGAGCCTACAAGAAAGGAAAAAATAGTACATATCAGTACCAAAAGATAACTTTTCAGTCAGTATTGAATTAATTTTAGACTCTCAGTGCCACAAGGCATATGTAAATTACTGAAACTCACAGCCTGTTTGTTAGAAAGCAAGGCACTTACTGTTGCACTGGAATAAGCCATCAATAGCAGTGCTGGGGCTGGTGCCTTGGCACAGCAGTGCTTGGCTTCGATGTTGTTCTTATGGATGGAGAGAGAATGCAGTAGGTTAGAGGCAGGTCACAGTCAGCATCAGGATCAGCAGCGTGGGGTTTCTTGTATTTTAAGACACGTTGTGTTTGAAGCTGTGTGTCTCCTCTGTCACTTGGCACAGTGCTTTTCTTGTCTTAGGCTCTGAGTGCTTTGGTGCAGGAACTTGTACCTAGTTCTGCTTACAGCTCTGGGGTTGTGTGCTGTGTGTTTTATGCACCACATGCTTTCAGGCACAGAATAACACGTTTGTGTCCCTGCAGAAAGGGCTGCCACTGAAGCTGATCATCATGTCAGCCACCCTTCGTGTCGAAGATTTCACTGATAACAACAGGCTGTTTTCTGTTACACCTCCTGTTATTCAGGTATTGTCCTCCTCACTGGGATCTCCAGCAGTCCAATGGCTGAAATAAAGGGAGGGCTTCCTTGATAAGGCCAATTGAAAACTAGGGGCAGTCTAATCTTTCCAGCTGGTGCTGGAATCGTTCAGATTTCAACTTTAAATAGTTATTTTGTGTAGACCATTGTTTCTTTTGGGACTCGGTGTTTTTCTTTCCACCTTTATCAGAGAACTGCCCCAGCACGATCTGCTTGGCTTGAAAAACTGTAAGTTACAGTTCAGCAGAACTAGAAAACCTCAATCTGAGTTGATCTGAAAGAGAGAACAGTTTTAGCTTCCTGCTTGGTTTTGCAGTGTTCAGGGTAGACAACAACAGTAATTTCTATAGGTCCGGTGTATTTTAGATTACCAAATCCAAGAGCTGAACAGAAATACAAGGCTGTAATGGTTGTGTTGGTGTTTACAACAGCAAGTAATCCCTTTCTTGTATGCCCTCTCTAGGTAGATGCAAGGCAATTCCCTGTAACCGTTCATTTTAACAAGAAGACCCCTCTAGATGACTACAGTGGGGAGTGCTTCAGAAAGGTGTGTAAAATCCATCGAATGTTGCCCTCAGGTAAGGTCACTGCTGAGAACCTTTCAAATACTTTACATTTAACATGTCTAAAGTTTTCTGGGTTGTTTTTCTGGGGGGAAGGATTTTGTTGGGTTTATGTTTTGTTTTGGGGGGAGGTTTTTGTAAGTTGAACAGGAGCTACAGTGATGTATGTTACTTAGGTTTTTCTTGTGAAAATTACCCTTCAGTTAAATCGTGTTCACATCAGTGTGCTCCTCGAGGGAGTAGTATAAGACAGATGCAGTCAAACCCCCTGTTCCTCCTTGTTACTTCACAGTTTATCCAACCTATCTTATCAAGAACAAGATCTGAAGCTTTCCAAGGTGAAATACCTATGTTGAGGTTGACAGTGATTTCTTCTCTTGCAGGTGGGATTTTGGTGTTTTTAACAGGCCAGGCAGAAGTTCACTCTCTATGCAGAAGGCTAAGGAAAGCCTTTCCATTCCAGAAAAACAACACTGCAGGTAATGCTATAGAATAAAGGACTCTTAAACTTGGCATTTTATTGCACTTAGAAGTGACCTTTGCATGGAAAAATAAGAGCTTTTATTTAGAAAACCAAAAAAACAAGGGTTGAGGAAGAGCTCGTTGTGGATGATTTTGACAGATAAGTTTATACTCTTTTGAGGTTGGGGAAAAGGTTTGTATGTGTGATCCTTTCCAGTTCCCCAGAATTACAGAATCATAGAATAGAAGGGAGCCCTAAGGATTCACTGCACTTCTTCACTTGCTCTGTTGGTTGTGAATTAAAGCCAAAACTGCTGCTTGTTGGTGGCTGTTTATTTTCAGGCTAATGGAATTGACTAGAAAGTCAAATCCTAATATAGCTTAACTAATTGTGTCCTAAGGCGTACAGTTGCTGTATGATTCTCTGTATGGCTCCTAAATGGAATTATAATGTTAAACTTGTGTTATCCCTGTAGCCTCTGCCTTCACTATGACAATTTGCTGCTTTCACACTGTGACCCTTTTCGCATCCCCAAAAAGATGGGATCGGGACCAAGCTCTTTGTGCCACCTTTTCTGAGAGGAAAGCATGCTCAGCTAACAGTAATTCCACTGTTTTTGCAGGAGGAGATGATGACAAAGAAGAATCTGTGGAAGAAATGAGGAAATTTAAGAAATCAAGGAAGCAGAAGAAAGTTATGGTAATGTGTGATGGCTAGAATTCCTCCCAGAGACAGGAGGGAGCAGGTACCTCCCTGCCAAACAGTACTCCTGCATAGCTATGTTTCTCACCAGGCTGTTTTAGACTTGCATGGAGCCTTGTAGCCTACATATGTCCCCTCAGGAAATCCAGTAATGCTGCCTACACTGGTAACTGCTGCCTTAGGAGCAGCAGAGTGCTAAAATACGGCTCTAGATATTACAGGCAGGAGATTTCGGTCCAGTATTGACCATTAAAACTTTAATGGAAGGAGTTTCAGACTTGCTGGCTCCAGGGCTGCTCCTCATCTTGCTGTTAGTTATCCAAAAGTGGGACTGATGCATCTCTAATGAAGGGTTGCATTTGGCTTCCTCCCAAGTCCTACATGCGCTTTGTTAGCCCAAGATCTTGATGTTCTAGATACACTGTCCACTGACATTGGATCCTGGTACCTGAAGGGGCCTGAAGTAGAGAAATTTTACCCTTTCCCTCTGTCCTCCAAGTGAAGAAGCTTGACACAAAATGCTGTTTAAAATGCTTGGGTTATTCCCCCCGACTCTCGAAGTGACCAAATGCTAAACTTCAGCCTTTAAATACAAATTAAATCTCTCAATTCCTCTATCGTCTTCAGGACAACAAGTGTTTGGAGTAAGTGCTCAGCTTCGCTTTCAAAGCAATAAAAAGTGCTGTTTGTGTCCCCCCTTAAAATGCTCAGTGGTCATCTTTCCTCTCTTTCTCAGGCGCTCCCCAAAATTGACCTGGACAATTACTCTGTTGTACCAGTGGATGAAGGAGATGAAGACAGAGATGCTGAAACTGATGATGATATTGCAGGGTCTGATATTGACCTGGATTTAGGAGATGGAGACTCAGAAGAAGGTTTGGCACTTAATGAAATCAGAACTCCATATCTCCTGCCACCTGTGCAGCATAGGCTGATTGGCCTTTGCTGACCTGTGTCATGGAAAAGCTATTAAGGTTTTCCAGCTTCAGCTTTGTACTAAGTATTTTACTGGTTTTAAATGAAGTGGTGTTTGTGAAGACATTGTAGGGACTGAGCCTGGAAGTTGACTTACTGTGTATTTACAATATTGTTTTTTTTCCTCACAGATGAGAAATCTGATTCGTCCCTCCCACTCTTTGTGCTCCCTCTCTATTCTCTGCTAGCACCAGAGAAACAAGCAAAGGTAAAGAATTAGTTGTCATAATGAGTAAATAATCCTTATAGATAGGTGTTGTTGTTGTCTAAAGTCACATGTGCTTTGTGAGTTAAAATGTCCATCTTGGACTGCCCATCAGTGGGCAGACTTGAAAGGCTCAGTGGGCAAGTTGGGATGGGATTGGAGCTGGCCTTGCTTGGAGTGGGATCTCCTTTATGTGCCAGTTCAGCACGTTGGGAGAGATGAAGAGTGACAGTCCTGCAGCATGGTAAAATTAGTTAAAATTAGAATACGACTCCACACTGGTGTCTGCTCCACCTGGAGCCCCTGTGGATGTTCCTGAGGGATTAACAGAGCTGGAGACAAAGTGTTACGTCTTTGGTCTGGCTCTTGGGTTTCACCTGCAATGCCATATGCTCGGTCATCCCTTTGCAACCCATCCGAGTTGGCTGCCTTTCTCTTTTTCTATTGTTGGCAGTGCCTTCCACATGTCCATCTGTTTCTCGTAGGTATTCAGGCCTCCTCCTCCTGGCACGAGACTGTGTGTTGTAGCCACCAACGTGGCTGAAACATCGCTTACAATCCCAGGCATCAAATACGTGGTTGATTGTGGAAAGGTCAAGAAACGTTTCTATGACAAAATTACTGGGGTTTCATCTTTCAGAATCACTTGGATATCTCAAGCTTCAGCCAACCAGCGGGCAGGCCGGGCTGGCCGGACAGAGCCAGGCCACTGTTACAGGTTAGCTACGGGCTGGGGAGAGGCTTAGGAGGAACAAGAAGCCCGATGAGTGTCAGTGTGAATTTGGTGGCTTCCCTCATCCTGCCGCCCCTTTCACAGGGACCTAGTGCTGCTTGAAACATGTTGGGTTTCTCTGCTCTTTGTTCAAATAGGAGAGGTGAAACCATGCATGAACTGTCGCTGGTGATGCTGGTTTGACAGTTTGTCTTCTCAGGGGCCTTTCTGTTGCTGAAAACTTAGTTTGGTGGCCAAAATATCATGGATTCCACTCCAAGCCAAGTCAAATATGCCCCAACCATGGAAATAATGACACGGTTTTCTAAATAACACCCACAGCTGCCTATTTTTTTAAATGCCTTGCTATTTTTCGTGCATATCTTTTGAGTTAAGACTTCTTTTAAGCCTCTAAGCAGCACTTCTGGTCCATTAGGTTGTACTCTTCAGCAGTCTTCATGGACTTTGAGAAATTTTCTGCTCCAGAAATAACAAAGCGACCGGTAGAAGACTTGATTCTGCAAATGAAGGCATTAAATATAGAAAAGGTGAGGTGTAAATTGGCTTTGTTCTACAGTGCTCATTAAAGTGGCTGCCCCTAGGAGCCAGAAACACGAAATGTCTTTTATCATCATTGTTTGAGGCTGTGCTTTGTGTTAGAAATTAGGATGCTGGGACCTGATTTTGGTTCTGTGAATCGCAGAAGCTTGTGTGAATTCCATCAGGCCTTAACAGACATGTTTGTTCAGGTCATAAGAGCTTTCTTCTATTTTTAGTAGCAAAAAAGCCCTGTCCAAACAGGCGTTGTGTTCTGGAGATACTTGAGCACTTTCAGAAAGCACAATGCTTAGAGGTAGATGTTAAAGCAGCCCACCCTAGGCGGTGCCTGGAGTCAGTGGCAGCTAAGGGTGACACTGGTATTCCTGTTTCCTAATGTTTTTGTTCTAAGCGTTTCCTCCCATTATATGTCCTTTCCTCCTGCTCCTGGCAAACATGCTAACTGTTTTTCTTTGGTGTGTATCCAGAGGGGAGGGCTTCATTCCCTTCCAGGACTTTTCACTGGGTTCAGACTCTGTTTTGCAGTGGGAGCTGTGTCAGTGATGTACTGAGAGGCATTTTATCTCTCTGTCCATAGGTAATCAACTTCCCGTTCCCAACACCACCTCCAACAGAAGCACTTGCAGCAGCTGAGGAGTTGCTGATAGCCCTGGGTGCCTTGAAGGAGCCCCCTGTGACAGGAAGGTAATGTCTGTGGTCCCCCACAAATTTCCTCTTGGCCTTCACCATCACTACAGCAGCACTGCTGTCCTGCCACCAGCTTTCCATCCCAGCCCTCGCATCTGAGGATGTGCTGGCAAAGACTGGCAGCATTTTAACAGTCTCGGGTTCACCTGTGTTTGTTTTATTGGTCTCTGGATGCCTTTGGGCACAGAAAGACTCTACTAGCATTGTGCCATGCAGGGCAATTGGGAGCATCGTGAGGAAGAGGAATCGTTCCCCCAGCCTTTGCGACCAGCACATAACAAAATCTGAGAAACCACATCAAATAAATAGGGCTGCTAAAACCAGAAACACGAACTTGTTCTAATGCAGAAGTCACTTCATTACATCACTTTTCTTTTCCTCCCCCAGGCTGAAGCAGCAGCTGGCAGCAAAGCTGAGTTGCCCTATTAGTCGCCTGGGCAGAATAATGGCCACTTTTCCTGTTGCCCCCCGCTATGCAAAGATGTTGGCATTGAGCAGGCAGCATGACTGCCTGCCCTACACCATCACCATAGTGTCTGCAATGACTGTCCGGGAGCTTTTTGAGGAGTTAGACAGGTGAGTGAGTTAACCTGACATCACTTGTCACAGTTAATGTCTCTCTTGCATTGAGGCCCCTCTGCACCTAAGCACAATATTCAGTCATGCTCTTTTGTCTTTCTTTTAGGCCAGCAGTAAGTGACGAAGAGACAGTGGAGCTGAAGGGGAAGAAAGCCAGGTTTTTACAGATGCAAAGGATCTGGGCTGGGCAGGGGTCAATGCAAAAGCTCGGAGACCTCATGGTGATGTTAGGTATTGCTGACAGCGATTTCCCTGTGCTGTTAACTACCATTCAGTCCTCCTCCCTGTACCCCTGAGCTCTCAGCTTTATACAGGCAAAGGCAGCCTCATGCTGCAGGACTGAGTCCAGCAGTACATTTTCTAGGCTGTTCTCTGGGCATCCTGCCAGTGTCCCAGGCTAATGACAAACGGGAACTGCGATATGCATGTGTTGGCTATGACAGCACTGTCCCATAGTTGGTTTTCTTAGGAGAACTGATTGTCTAAGTCGTTTTCTCCCCCTGCCTGTTCACTTGCAGGAGCAGTGGGGGCCTGTGAATATGCTGGGTGCACCTGGAAATTCTGTGAAGAAAACGGGCTCCGATACAAAGCCATGCAGGAAATCCGGCGCTTGAGAGGACAGCTGACAACAGCAGGTAAGGGGGTTTGAGAGGAGCTGCCTTGCTTATTCTCTTCCAAAGGGTGGCAAATCAACTGGGCTGTTTGTTTTCCGTTGAATCTTAACTCCTGGGTTTTGCCCCACAGTGAACTCAGTCTGCACTGATGCTGGTCTCTATGTTGATCCAAAGATGAAGCCCCCAACAGAAGCTCAAGCAACTTACTTGAGACAGATCGTGCTGGCCGGGCTGGGGGATCACATTGCCCGAAGGGTTCAGGCAGAAGAGCTCCTGGATGACAAGTGGAAAAATGCTTATAAGGTAAACAGCTTGAATTGACTGAATTCCTCTTCCTCTGTGTGGCATAAAGACCCTCCTGTGCAAAGCCTGAGCTTCTGGCTGGATGTGGCATTGGCACTGCAATATCTACCACCTCTCCCCATAGAATCGAAGTTTCCAGTACTGCAATACGACAGTGCTCAGGTAGGAATTGTTACAGAAGAGCCAAGAAGTAGCATTAGTCCATCATGCAAAGTGCTTGATGTCTCCAGAGGTGAAGTAGAAAATGATGGGGTTATTAAAATCCTCCATCACTTAAGAAAACCATATAAAGGTACATCTAAAAGAGACTGAAATTGGATGCAATCAAGAGATTGGCTTGCCAGTAACTCATTCTGCTTCCATCTTCTGTGCTTTCTTAAAGACTGCTCTGCTGGACGACCCAGTGTTCATCCATCCAAGCTCAGTCCTCTTCAAACAACTCCCAGAGTTTGTGGTGTATCAGGAAATTGTTGAGACTACAAAGCTGTATATGAAAGGTGAGGCTGCTGCAGTCCCTGCTTGTTGTGCAGGTGTGGTGAGGAATTCGGAAGCGCCCTAGGCAGAATGCTTCCCTTGCTGCAGTGGCTGAGCACTCTCCTTACAGAGTGGTCGTGCCCCTGGGGATTTGGATCCTTAGGCTTTCTAGATCTGGATCAGGGGATAAATTGGCCTGGTTTATTCTTTGTCTAGCAGAAATGGCTGGAGCAGAGCTCAGCTTCTGAAATAGCTGCTCTGCTCCAGCCCTGTCAGCAATAGCACCTTATTGCTGGTCTCTGAACAAGAACAAGGCAGAGTTGACTTGAAAAATGAGATACAAGTGAATGTGTGGAGATGAGACCATGCACTGTATTCACTTAGCGAGTGGTGGCCCTTGGCAGCAGGCCTGCATTCGGGTGTGTGTTTTCCCTTCTTAAGGTGTGTCTGCAGTCGAACCTGAGTGGATTCCAGCCCTGTTGCCACCGTACTGCCACTTTGGGAAGCCTCTGGAAAATCCTCCTCCATCTTACTGCCCTGAAACAGGCCGAATTCGGTGTCACAGACCAAGTGTCTTTTGTAAGTGCCTTGAGAAGCGTCACTCAGTAGTTCTGTATAGTTATATTTACTATGTATAGATACTGTAATGCTGCTTTTAACAAGACCATCAGCAGACCAGAAAGGTCAGGCTCAGCTTGGACTGTTCAGAGAGCTTATCCATGGGATTCATAGCATTTAAATATCAGCATCTTCCCATTGGCTTGGGCATTTTGCACCCATCTGCTCCCCTGAGAAGGAGCCAGGCTGGCTGTGTGGTGGCCGTATCCTCCCCACTTCTCTTAGCACCTGTGTTGCACATCTCTCTTGGAAATGGACCCTCCTTTTTGAGCATTTGGAGTCTCAGTGTGATCTTTCTTTCCAGATCGAGTTAGCTGGCAGCTCCCTGCTGTGGAAGTTGATTACCCAGAAGGTATTGATCGCTACAAATACTTTGCCAGGTTCCTGCTGGAAGGGCAGGTGAGCGTGTTCCAGCTGTTTCCTTAATGTAATCAGTAAGTTTTTAGCCCAGTTTTAAGAGATGACGACCCTTGTGACTTCTTCCTTTGTGTTCATGCCTATTCCTCATAACTTGCTGGTGGCTGGAGGAATTTGCTGCAGTTGGTGGAATGGGGAAGATATCTTTAAAATAAATGTTGGCATTTCATAGCATGAAAATCAGCGTTTGAATGAAAGAGACCCCCAAATTTAAGTCCTAGTTTTCAGAGGAAAAAGCTATAGCTCTTGTCTTTGTGCATTCTGAGACCCAGTCAGGACAGGGTTGGTATGGAGGCATGGATGGGAGAGATGGTAATAGAGAATATGGGATGGGCATCTGTAGTAGTCCAAGTTCATTAATGGTTGTTTCCACAGAACAATTAATTTACCTTACATACTTCTTATAACAAATTAATATACTTTATATACTTGTTATAACAAATCTTCCAGGTTATTAAGAAGTTGAAATCTTACAGCCAGTGCCTGCTGTCCAGTCCCCTCATAATGCTGAAGACATGGTCCAAGTAAGTTGTTAAACATAAGTTTTACTCCACCAAACACTTTTAACTTCCTTTAAAATGAAAGAAAATGAATGCTGGGAGGGGTGTCCTCGATAGTGATCTTGGCTGCAGCTGCAGGAGAGGAAAATGAGTTTTCTTACCAAGAAAAATTGGGTCTCGAGAGAATTGGGTGGTTTTAAGGGCAGTGTGGAAGCACACACACAACCTGCTGGTCACACTGACCTCTGCGGGCTGCTTCATGCACATAAGTTGCTCACATGGGTAAGAAACTGATGAGCACCACTGCTTTCCTTGCTTTTCGCTGTAATTTGGCCAATTACATTGGTTTTATTTCTCTTCAGAAACATGTTGCCAACAGACCATGTTTTTCTTTGGGTTTGATGACATTTACTGAACTATGACCCTGGAAAGAACTGTCAGCTGTTGTTTCCCTTGTGGCCCCCAGGGTCCTCTCTTGCTTACCAAATAGGCTTTCTCTGAGTTTTCACGGAGCTGAGAGATGCAGAGGTTGTGAAAGGCTTTCTTACAAGTGACTGATCTTATCCAAGGATCCTACAACTGCAAAGTGTTTTCCTAGTTTAATCAATTCAGAGTTCAGCATGGGACCTGTTGGTTCCTTTTTGCTCTCCCTTGTGCTGTGCAGCTACATGCTGCCGGCAGGAAGAGCTACCTGCTGCTCCATTTAACATCAAAAAGTTGTGGTAGGGGGAAGAAACTTATTTCTAGTGAACTTTGTGGAGCCAGTGACATGTCTGTCTGTGTTTCTACATCTATATTTAGCCCTTTAAAAACCACTAAGAGTATGAACTGAGGAAGGTAAGCTGAATGCTGGAATGCTTTGGTGAACTGTGCTAACGAACTTTGGTTTATTGCACTGTTTTACTTTGGACTGATGCAGACTTCAGCCCAGGACAGAAGCCCTTCTGCAGGCTCTAGTGGCAGAAAAGTGTGATAATCGTGATGCTTTACTGGCTGCATGGAAGAAAAATCCTAAATGTAAGTGTTCTGCTTGCTTAATTATTGGTCATATCAGTGCAGATTTTGTAGTACTTCCAGCACTGTTGAATTATAGTTTAAAAAAATGGATGATTTCACTTGGTAAGCTCCAAATATTTGCTGTTTTCTTACCAGAATCAGCAGTGCTCTGTGTGTTGGCTCTGGTGAAGAGCTGGAGTTCCCTGTACTTTAGAAAGCAACATTTGTATTTTAAGATTATTTTTTCCCTGTAGTTCCAACCACAGTTAAAATGTTTGGTTTGTGCTTCTGAAAAATCAGACTCTGATGGTACTGTCAGTGGGTACAGGAAAAGCTTTTTCCAGGTGAAATGTATTTTGTTCAGTATTAGGGTACAGATTGTAAGAGTTCCGCATGGAAGCAGCAGCAAAGTGATGCAGTGATGGCTTTCACAGTCATTCTCCCACACTTGACACTTCTATATCTGCATGCAGGTCCCCAGGCTGCAGCAGTGATGGAAGGTTGGTTCTTGCTCTGAGCCTGTGAGCAGTGTGATGCTGCAGGACCTTGTCCTTCCAGCAGAACCACTCTGGTCCCTGACTTTGCAGCCATCTAATTGCTCCTTTCTCTCATTCCAGATTTGCTCGCAGCCTATCGTCAGTGGATCCCCGAAGCTATGCATGATGATCTAGCCCAGAAGTGGCCACCAATAGCACAGTAAAGTGTCCGACTTCTTCATGGACTCCTCCAAGATGTTTTGGGAGCTTGGGTTTCCTTGGAAATCTGATGACACAGATGGACTTGCTGACTGTTAGCAGTAGCTTTCTGTAAGCGAACTGAGTGTTGTTCTGGTTTTCTGGGAAGCCCCCAGTGTTCCCAGAAGTCCTACCAGTGGTTTTGCTGGTATTTTGTAATATTAATGTTTGGATAATTTTATCCATTGCATTTTACACATTTGGGTTTTTTTTTAATTTTATCTGAAGCTTCTCTTTGGACTATATTAGTCATATGGACTATAATAAATATGTAAAGTTCTTGGGTTGGATGGGACAACTGTTTTCAATGCAGGATGCTGCAGTTAAGGGGCATTCCAGACCTTGGCAGTGACAGCAGATCCAGCCACAGGCTGAACCTTTGGTCCTTAGAGCGGGTTGACCTTGCCCAGCCCCTCAGCCTCGCGCAGTCCCTGTCCCTCCTGCATGACAGGAAGCACGAAAGTGAGAAGACTCGTGGGTAGAGATGAAGATGGTTTAATTAGTGAAGGGAAGAAGAAGAATCCAAATGATGTCAAGGCGCTCACCACCTCCCACATGCTGTCCCCTTTCCACCGTCTTGTCCACCCACAGCCTGCTCCTAGAGGGGAAAAGAGAAAGCCTTGACGTTGCGCAAGTATTGCTCAGCAACAGCCCGAACACCCGCATGGTATCAACACTGTTAGTCACAAATCCAAAACACAGCAGCAATGGGCTGCTGTGAAGAAGTCCCAGTATGCTCCTACTCCTTTTCCTGCTTCTCGAGGGGTTTGCCATGAATCCAGAGTCTCCATTAATCTTGCTTTCAGTAATTTTTGTTTCAAGTCTCCCCTCATAACTGGCTTGCTGCTGCAAGCACTTGTATTTCCTGGTGCCTTTGCTCTGTCACATGCTTTCCTTGTGCTGTTTTGTATTGTCTGGTGCTCCTGAGCCACCCTGCAGCTCATGGGCTGGAGCACTTTTGGGAATGCAGCAGCTTATAGGAAACAGGGTGGATTTTAACCGTGCCACCTGCTTGTTCTGCAGCAGGAACGGTTGGTGGTCCCAGGAGGAAAGGTACAGCTTGAGTTTACATTTGCTTTCACCTGATCTTTTTCCTCCTTGGTATCCCCTGTGCTCATGCTGGGTTAATTTGCTGTTGTGTGTAACACTGCACCATGAGAAGGTGGGACAGTGCCCCCTCATCCTAGAGGAAGCTGGTTAAACCATACCACAGAAGGGGCTGGATGTGTGTTCCCACCACTCCCATGCACTTCAGACCAGGACATAAGGGTTATAGATGCCTAATGCTGATGAAAACAACTTTCGTTTTAGAGCGAGAAGGAAAATAGCCTGTTGTAGCTGGGTGTTTACAATGTAAGTGTTGCAATGAGGTAGTGTTTAGCAGCAACCACAGGCGGGAGGGTGCTGGGAGCTCTTGGCTGGGCTCCTTTCTCTAGCAACAATTGCAGCTGTACTTATAGGAAGAAAGGAAGGACAATACTGACTCTGTTAAGAAACGATGGCGAAACGGGGCGAAAGAAAACAATCACTACTGACCTTCCCTAGTAAAATAAGTGGAGATGCCGGGGATTGAACCCGGGGC